GTATCATGAAAATATGAGGTCAGGCCTCTGATCTGTTCTGCTCTGCTTATCCAAAGCAAATACTGTGTACATTCACATTACATACAGAACAGCAGTGTAATAGTAGTGCAGGTATGGACAGGAGGTGAGCTCTGTTTCAGACTTTGCTTGGCCCGGAAGAAAAAGCCCAGTGTGCTTAATTGAAACACCAAAAAATAAAGATCTTGTTAAAGGTTACCACATCTGAGAAATATAAATTGTTTATTAAGCTCCATCACAAATTTTCACATGCGCTTGTATCAACCCCGTATGATCTTACAAATGATTTATACTCAGAATGCACAGTATTTCTTTCAAAAGCACTCCCCGTACCTCGGTGCATTGCGTTGTGTAATTCACTGGCCAAAGACAATCAATAAGTGGCACTTATGGTGCGTTTCTCTCCTGTGTTTCAATACTCTTAAAATGGAATATTTATATGGAATTTTCCAAGTAAGGAAATTTGGGTAGCTGAAAATAAGAACTGAAGTATAACATAATATATACCTAATGTACCATTCATACCTTACATGTATGATTTTACATATCATAGTATTTAAATATTCAATTTCATATAAATCAAGTATTAAATATCCAAATATTTGCATGCTACAGTGTCTTAAGACATGCACAACACAATCTGCAGCATTACTGTGCGTGCATTCTGAATGGCTAATTCTGTAGTTCAAATTTTCCAAAACAAAGTAGCTCACTGATGTTTAAATTAAAAACAGAATATTCTGGTATTAAATCACTTAAAATCCAAGCAATTTCACGCATCCTTGAAAAACGTATAAAAATTATTGAAAGTCAATAAAAATGTGTAGATGCTATTGCTATAAAAAGCCTTTAGGCACTGCTAAAGAGCCTTTTTCTTCTGTTAGATATTGAAAAAAATGCTGTAGGTGTAAAAAACTGAAAAAGAATGACCACTGAAAAGAATCTGATTGCTTACCACCTGCTGTGTCAATGACTGACAGCTGGATTACAGCTAGAATGCAGCCTGAGGCTCCCAGAGGAAGTCCCATCCCCTAAGGACTATGAATGGCTGAAAATACAATGATTGGCAGTGTTTTCCACCAATCAGACCAGCCTTTTCGAGGAGGTCAGTTTCAAAATTCAGTTGCAACAGCCAATAGCTCTCCGTTTTCTTCAAATCTGGCTACGAGGAAGGCTCAAGTCTTGCGGATGCCCCGAACAAGGAAAAAACGTTTCCTTTTTTTGGGTTTTTGCGGTCATGTTTTGCTGGGTTATTGATTACTTAGCATGTAACTCTGGTTGTCTATTTCCGATTGATATATGTTTTTTTAGTAAAGATGTTTTGGGTTTTGTTAGTGAGATACTATGAAATGTGATGTTTGTCTTAAGTAAATATTGACTTATGGCGTCAAGCGCTCGGCCCCTCGGGCGGTTCCTTGGGTACAGCTAGGGGTTATTAGTGTGATTGTATAGCAGTCGCATTGTTAAAGTCTATTGAATGTCTGTTTCCATTTTTATGCCAATTGATTCTAAACTGGAGCCTCTGGCTTCAGCTCCCTACTTTGTAGGCTATTTTTGCCATATTGTCAAATGCCATTACAATGCATTTCTATCCAAGCATATATGCATATCCATTAATTTTGTATTTTTTCTCCTATACACGCTTCAATGATTTCTGGAACCTCTTCCAGGTTACTTTTTTAATCCAGTGACAATAAATTCTCTGATTGGTTTTACCGATTTATAATCTTTATAATTTATGAACATTGCAGTTTAGAGAAAAACTCAACATTGTACTCGGGCCTAGCAATGTAAAAAAACTAACGTTTCAGGTGACGACTGGCCATTGCAGCGCCTTGAATACACAGCCTTCCAGTTATGAGTCCTGAGCCCTAACCCTCAGCTGCTTCCAGCACTAAGGTTTTGTTTGTTGAAATAATATCCAGCATACCGTTCATGAACATGTAAGCGCCATGCACATTACAATTCGCAAGATGGCAGACCTGTCTTTGTGAAGAGTTGGTGCATATTTTAAAACTGTAATTATATAACGAATATTGTACAAATCGTGTCCTCCGCACCCTGTGTTTGTGTATTGAATAATAAGAGTAATAATAAGTAATAATATTAAGTGTGGCTTATTCAATGGTGTGTGAAATAAAATAGACCTATATAAAATAAAAATATACATCGATTTTTTTTAGTTTAAAACATTTTTTCTAAAGATTATAATATTTTTAATCTTTTAAATGCTAAGATAAATACTACATATAAATTGATCGTGTACATTTTTTTCTTGTGAAGAATTATTTTATTACTATATTAAAATCATTATTGATTTATAAAATGGACTACATTCTCACAATTTCCAGATACTGTACATTATGTGACTCCCTGACAGTGGAAAGTAAGATTTAAACAGACAATATTTGCAGTGCACTTGTTTTCAGGGAATTACAGTGGGACACTGAAAACATGAGGTGAAGTGTTTTGTTATAGAATAGCTACAGTATATAACTATAGAATAGCTATATACTGTGACTTTACTGAAGTGCACAACTCCAAGCTAACTTGACTATAATGTAATTTGAGGTTAGAAAATAGTATTAACTTTGTAGGATGTTTCAAGTGTTGGCACACCCCTTGCTTGAACACCCATGCTTTTTATTAGACTGTAGCTGTGCATTATTAGAGTTTTCTGGATAAATAAACATACAGTATGATAGCAAGTTAATAAATCAGCTAAAGATTAAAATGAGTTTGAGCAACTAAATTCTGATTAAGCGGGAAGTATTTCTGACACAGAGGACTGAGGGGATACAAACACTTATCCATAAAGAAACTTTACTCAAGACATGCACAGCGATTAAGAGCTCAGTTGAGTTGGAAACCAAGAAACCAGGACGACAGTGTTCCAATAAGAAGAGAACTGAAGAATCTTGCTTCTCACTGAAACCCTTTTAACTGTTTTACCTAAGTTGTTTGCTTCCATCTAGTGGACATAGAAGTTAATCATGCATTTCTGTGACCGTAGTTGAAGAGGCACTCACTGATCCACAAGCATAAAACTTCAATATCTAAAATATGAAATTTCAGCTTTGCTGCACTTCATGCTTAGTTCTAGCATTTTATTACATGTAGTTTTTGTAATTGTGTACAATATTTTAAACATTTTACATACTCCATTGATACAGTATGTGGTGTTTTAAAATATCTATATTTTAAAGAAATCGCAGTTACTGTATATTTCTGTAAAGGAGTTTTGCTTTATGTAAAAATACAATTAAAATTAATATAAAATTAATATATCAAAAAGATTCATGCTACAGTAAATCATTTTCAAGTGTACTTTCTAAGTAATACTTTAAAACAGATTATAAGTCTACTTAGATCATAAATACAATTTTACTATTTGTTTATAATGCATTGTAGTATTCTTCGTCATTAATGTGTTTTTGCATTGTGTGGTGTTTATAAACTATAAATTATTGTAAGATTTGTTTTTTATAGATTACATATATAACAGGTTTCAGTTAATACCTAATAAAGACATTTACAATCTTTAGTCAAAAATCCCTCATATAAATAAATGAAAATTTTAAGCTATTTTTTTATGATGCTTTTATGATGCTTATTACATTTAAATGTCTGCTTCTAGTTATGCTATCAGGTGCCATGTGCATTAACCCATATCTTTCTGGAGTTCAGTGTTCTACCTCATTACATCACGAGATGGCGCTAAAACCTTATAAATGGGGAACAGACAATTCAAAGGTGAAAATAAGATCACTTTATTAGCCATATATAATTTCTTGTATTAGAAATTCATCTTTTTCTGCATACCACAGCTTGCTCTCCATGAGACACACAGACAGGGAGATAAACTTGGGATCAGAGCACAGGGTCTGCCATTGTACAGCACCCCTGGATCACTAGGGTTCAGGGCCTTGCCCAACAGAGTAGGATTTCTCTGCTAGCTGTGGGATTTGAACCAGCAACCTTCCAACCACAGGCACAGCTCCTTATCCACAGAGCCACCACTCTGCCCTAAAGCATCAATATTTTCCAACTGTCCACATGTTTGTTTCGTTCTCATCATGAAGTGTTGTAACAAATCTTTACATTTGTTCTGAATGGAAAAGGTTGATTTTTTTTTTAGAAAAATAAAAGATAACATACACCAAAGAAATCACAGGATTGTTACAAAGCACATTTTTCTTACATGTTTGTTTTCATGGTTTTACTGTATATAATGGATACAATTTACTGGATGTGGTCTTTCAATATTTTTTTTTTGTAAACTGAAAGCAGTAGATTCTAATTTGCAGGAGCCAAATCAATTAGTATATGTACCCCTTAAGAAATATGAAACATCTCAGTGAGAATTTTATGTTCTTTGATGACACTAAATAAACTGCTGTTTTGTTTGCTTGTGTCTACCAGTAGGACATTTTGAGTGACACTGAACATTGACTGTCTTGATATGCAGATTTTCAATTTATATAATAAAAATAGCTTATGTGACATTTTGATACTATTAAATTCAAAACACATTGCATAATCTATATTTTTTACAGTTCAAAAGCAATTGCTATATTAGCAAGAGCCCAATTGTTTAAGATATCAAAGTGGCCTAAGAGTTTGTGAATGTGTAGATTTATTCAAATGTATTTGTAGAATTTATGAGCAAAGTCTTGCAACTGTGTGAAGTAGGGGATCAATTAGCAGTTCCTAACTGCACAAATACATTTGTCTTAACCTGGTGGAAGGAGTAACTGGGAATTCAGCAGGGAAACACAGTTACGTATACTCCTTCCATTACAGGAAGAAATGCCCTGTACTTGTTGAAATCTGGACAAATGTCACTTCAGTGTCCTCTAACAATTCGTCTCAGTGCAATGAAGAGAAAGATGACTGATGCTCAAGTAGACATCATGACAAATTAAATTCTGACAATTCATAAAGTGTTGCAACATGTATATTTCTGGAGTTACTGTTACTGCTGCTTTTAGTTTGTGGTTGTATTAGAAAGTCCCAAACGTACTCTTTCTCTTAGTAACCTTCTAAAAGCCTCGTACATTTTTGATGCCTCTCCAAGGACAAACAAAAAAAGAGTCTGCATACGGGGAATGTTATTATTCCCAAAGAGATAAAATGTCTATATATTTGACCGCACTTCTGATACCAGTGCCCAAAGCACAGCAATGGTGAAGGTAAGGATCATGTTGAACAGAGGTATCTTTACTGGCTCCATAGGCTACTATGCACTTATTCTTTTTAGATCATCTTAAATGTGTAATGCTAAAGTTTTATTTCTGTGTTCAGACTTGTAAACTCTAGTAAGCTATTCACTGTTTTATTGCAATCTAGTACATATATCCTTTAAGCATGTTTCTTTAATGTACTTTAAAATTCAATAGTAACAATAAAATAATCTTATTAAAATGTATTTGGGTCTGTTTTTCTTAACAGGTGTCTCAGTTTAAGGGGAAAATGATAAAGCACAATTCTTCCGTCCCTTACTACAGCGTGTCTGTGATTTTTACTTCCTATGGCTCGCTCAGCTCCCTCCACCATCTCTATTTCACTCTTGCGCTCGTGGTGTATCTTATCACTCTCGTTGCGAATATTTTCCTCATGGTGGTTATCTACATGGAGCCAAGCCTGCATAAGCCCATGTATATATTTTTGTTTAACCTGGCTCTGAACGGACTATATGGAAGCTCTGCTTTTTATCCTCAACTCCTGGACAATCTTCTCTCTGAAGTTCAGGGAAGCTCCTATGTAGGCTGTCTAGTCCAAGTCTTCTGCATGAGCAGTTATGCGACCTGTGCGTACGCAATCCTGACTGTCATGGCGTACGACCGCTACGTCTCCATCTGTAAACCACTGCTGTACTATAGAATAATCACGAATGAAAAAGTGAAGAGACTTCTAATGTTTTCTTATTTTTTTCCCGTGTTGGGCACATCTATTAATACAGTGTTGACAGCCAGACTCCCATTGTGTGAGCTGAAAATACACAGGCTGTTTTGTGACAACTGGGCAGTTGTCAAGAACTCTTGCATCAATACCAACTTGAATAATGTCTTCGGACTCCTTCTGATAGTTATTTTTGTCATCCTCCCAATGTTCTTTGTTATTTTTACATACTCTAAAATACTGATGATAAGCCTGAAGACTTCAAAGGAAGCACAAAGGAAAGCCCTGAGCACATGTGCGCCCCATTTAATCACTTTCATCAACTTCTCCATTGCTGTTCTGTTTGCTTTGATATACAATCGCTTTGACGTGCAGCAGGTACCAGCTGGTGTCAATATCATGATATCAGTGCATTTTGTTGTGATACCTCCTCTGTTGCACCCCATTATATACGGGATCAGGACTCAGGAAATCAGGAAATGTATTCGAAAGCTGCTTGGTAAAAAGGCAAGTATAACTCAACCCGGGGCTCACTTTAAGAAAGCGTCGTCAATCACTGTACCAATGTGCTAATAAAATCTGACTTTCTAAAGTTTGGCAGGAATTCAATTCATTGAGGAATATAAAAGTGTAAAAAAAATAATATGCCAGTGAAAATGACACAAGTCTACAATAATTGTGTATGTATTTGAGGTTTGCTTTTTAATTGAAACAAAGAAAATCAGAAGGACAGTACAGGAGTTTATTAATGTTCTAAGGTTTGGTGTGTGGAACATCTGCAATGTTTAGTGTATGATTTTGAACCATCTTGTGAAAACAGCTTTAATGATTTGAAATTCCACCTGTTTTAGTATTAAGTGGCCCATTTGTGATGGGGGGGCGTGCTGTTGACTTACAGCTCTTGGGTGGACTTCTTTGTGGAGATGTTCTGTCTGTGATTTCATCGTTTTTCTCCAGGTACTTTGGTGTTTTGTTTTCCTCCTACCTCCCATCCTATCCAGGTTAGTTACTTTACATATGTCACTAAATTGCCCATTTTCTAAGTGTTGTGCACTGTGATGGACTGATCTCCAGTTCAAGATGTAATCCTGCTGTGTCGCTTTCCAGAAATAGGCTTACTGATGCACGATTGAAGGGTGAATGTTTTAGTATTTATTAAATGCTTAAAGAGGAAAAAAAATAATTTTCGGTCAACAGCAAGAAAAGACATATCCTCAACTCACATAAAGTAATTATACTGTATTAGTAATGTAGACAGTAAACACAGTATCTTGCTTTATTGAAATGTGAGAACAAGTAGTATGAAAGGGTAAGTGAGAGAATGGTGTAAATGGCTTTAAAAAAGAAACTTCCTCTCCTGTGATCGTTTTACAGACATCCCGGTCTAAGCAGTATCTTGTGTAACACTTTTCGTGCTCACAGCAATCAGCCTGTATGATCTATTTGTTGTCATGAAGGACATTAAACCCTACAATGTAATTTTCTGGATCTGCTCTCATTTCTATTTGATTTCTTGGGTTATTTGTAAGAGCTATGTTAATTTTTTTTTAAACTTGCATTGTTTTTCATACTATACGGCAGGCCAGTCAACCAAAACGTGTAGTGTTCTTCATGACTTTCAAGTAAAAAATGAAACAAATGTTTAAATGTTTTCCACTTACTGTATGAACCTTTTTTTTTCTTAAAGTGGCCACTATGATAATTTTGAGATAAAATATGAAACTGTGTTTTTAAGAAATGAAGCTACCATTCTGCCCTGTATTTCCTCCAGGGTATTTTTTGTTTACAGAAAAATGAAACAAAACCATTACAATATCTAGACAACACTTAAAAGGGCAGACAAGTCCTTTTACCAAAAATACAATTTATGTGAATTGTAACTGACAAAGTCATTCACTCATTCCAGTAACGGAGTAAACAAGGAATGCAGCTCTTCAACATTCAAGTCTCGACATAATACGTAATAGATTAATTACAGATAAATACAATTAATTCTTTATTTTTGTCAGGTCTAATACCATACCAGATCTCATACTGTACCATGTTACTGTATGTTAAAACATAGTTATATTTTTAGATTATCTTTGTTTATGAGGCTGCAGTATTTTTTATAATTTTCTTCTGTTAGTAATACTGTACAAATGTATATTATGATAAACGGAGTTTATAACAAAAGTTCGGGAGGGGTGACAACCGTGGTCAATCGTACTCAGCTCTCAGTAGTTAGCAATCGCTCCTGTCATCCTTCCTCCACCAAACTTTATAAATACCAACGTGATTTCCTACTCTCCCTCGCGTGTGACTTTTGCATCCCACCTCCACCTCTGCAGCTACTCCTTGTCCTATGGCCAGGAGGTCAGCTCTCGGCTAAGCAGGTTAAGCCAAGATCCGCTCCATAATAGTTCAATAGCTCATCCAGCTTTGATCTTGGGCGTTGTCATTCCTAGTGAAAACATTTTGTGCTTTGTACTGTAGATCAATGCAAAGAAATGTAAATATATTAAGCTAGGACCATTTGTTGCAAAATACTTAACAATTAAGTAAACACTTAGCATAGAAATGCATGAGACTATAATTGATCATTTATTTCAGCACTATAGTTATTTAAATGTTTTTTAAAACACACATTTACAGTAAAGCTGTAAAATGTAATAAAGTCTTTTTTTAAGACACATTTGACACATTTATTGCAGAGTAGATAAATTGTTCCTCTACGTAAACAACAAAAACCTATATAAATTTCACTTTGTGAAAATAAGTGAATATAAGTTACTTTTTTGATGCGTTCCAAAACATGCTATATAAAATAAAGGTTATGGAAGATGGCAATGTTGATCATTGTTTATCATGAGACTTTTTAATTTTCCAAACAAAAACTATGATTGTAAAATGTAAAAATACATCTAATAAACAGAAGGAAACTTATGTACTGTACCGTTCTTTAATACCTCTGCCTTATGTTTTGTTTTTCATATTTTTATGGCCCTCTCATTTTATTCCTTTGGGAGTGGCAAGAACCCTCACCTGGATTTTAACAATACCTCCTGCTCACCTTTGTGCTGACATCTGGTCTCTGCAGTGTTAATGACAATCTGCTGCACCTGGCACTGTTTTTTGCCTCTGCACCCAATAAGCACTGACCATGAATGACTAGCTTCTAGATTTGAGCAAAACTGGATTTTGCTTCATGCTTTATTTTTTAAAGCACTGCAGGCTCAGGCTTCTAGATTAAAGTCGGCTCGGAATAAAACTGTGAGTATAGCCAGGGACTCGGCACTCTGTTCTGTTCTCTAAATCTAAATTCCTCCATCACAAACAGGGTTTAGATGGAATCTCTCAAATGACGCAGTAATCACATAATTACTGGCCTCAATCAGATCTCAGTCAGTTTGCATGAGCTGGGGTGGGGAATTATATGGTTTCCTTAGGTTAACAAAAGCAGACAGCAGATGCTGCTGCAATACCATAATTACTGCCCCCAGCCCTGATGAAAACAATCTCTAGTCTTTGTTTTATCAGTGAATATCTTAAGTATAAATCCAGAGTGTTCCATTCTTTTGTTGGTCATTTGATATTTTAAGTTCCTTTCCAAATGGAAAAAATACAATGGTAATATTGTACATCTCCATATAATTTACACTAGGGCAAGGGTTATCACTTTAGATTAAGTTTTGTAAATAAGAGTTTAATAATCTTTTTACAATCAGTTACAGGCTCAGGGTTCTGCATTATGTTACTAAATTATTTGAAGATACACTTTAATCTGATTCACCATACGCTTTAGAGTTCATACTTGCTGTACCTTACATCAATCCTTACTACAGTACATTATTAATTAGAACCCTTGCTACTTTTGTATAGCTAAACTTGTTTTATGTACTTTTGACAACATTTTATTTAAAAAATAAATATCAATAAAAGAAACAAAATGAATGAGTAGAATATTATCTCTTTGTTATTAGAGTTCAAAATAAAAAAAAAACTGCCAAGGAAAATAAATACAGATAAAAAAAAAAAATAATTTCTAGTAGTGTAAAATCTGTGTAAAATCCTTTTTTTCTATCTACCTATGTTTTTTCTCAGTACCTTTAAATTGCTGAAATTCAAGTATAAAGTCAGAGATCTGTGAAACCCATCCCTTGCCCAGATTTTAACACTCCCCTATGATTTGGTACCTGCATTCTGTCAGACTTCACCTGTTACTGTCTGCTCATTGCAAGTCCTAACTGTATACTGTAGGAAAAAAATAAAACCTTATGGTTAACATTAAGTGAAAAGAATGTAGATGCAGATAATGCACCCTTCTTCTAGTGAACTTCACCATCTCTTGCATTAGCAGTGGTATAAAACTTTAAAAGGAAAGTGAAAAATTCAAACTTTATTTTTGAGCTGAGTGTACTACAGAAGGTAATACATACCCAAGAAAAGCCCTACACTAGTATTGTCCTCATGAGGAAAGCACGGAGGACAATTTTAACATTTTAAATACTGTACCAAACCATGGCACAAAGTATGTTATATGAAAGGCATAATGCAATGTATTTTAAGCTTTTTTTCTCTCTTCAGTGCAAAAATAAAATAAATAAAAATAGTTAATAAAATTAGTGAATAAAAATAAAAAATAAAAAGCCCAGCTTTACATATTGTATGTCATGAGCCTACTGATAAACCGTAAATACCTCCAAATTTAGCAGCTAAAAATGGCAAAACTAGTAATGAAATATTTGAGAGCTATTTTAATGTAAATTGTTAAAGACATTGCCAGCAGTTCTGGTGTTCAGAGGTCTATGTATTTCCCCCAGCTCTCTTCCACATGCACACTAATTAAGCTACAGTGAAAATGATGAAGGAAAAGCCTTTAACCAGGGAGCAGTGGAAACACATAACACAAGAGTGGCCACGTGAGGAGAAAGATATAAAGCTCCGTCCCTAGCCCTCTCTTTACACAGCAGCTAATCAAGGCCTAACAAACGTCACGACGGAGAAGGTAATGGCAGGACATTACCTGCATCGGAGGAGACAATGCTTTTTTAAAAAAAAACACAATCCAAGGCTGAAGTTCTGATTTTGTTATCATGCCTTTGTATCCTAGGTGTGTGTGTGCTTGTCTTGCTTGTTTTTTTCTGCATTTGTGGAACTGTGTTTTAAATGTGCTTTATTTCACAGGTGCTCTCGCTCTGACGTTATGATCAACTCTTCTTCGTCCACCTATGGGGCTCTCTTGTTTACATTATACAGCTCTCTTGACAGCCTGCGGTACATGTATTTACTTTTTTCCTTGCTGTTGTACTTTGTGACAGTGTTTGCAAATGTTTTTCTTATGCTAGTGATCTACTTGGAACCAGGTCTGCACAAGCCCATGTACATTTTTATATTTAACTTGGCATTAAATGGACTGTATGGGAGCTCTGCTTTTTATTTGAAACTAATGGACAACTTACTCTCAGGCGGTCAGGAGAGTTCCTATATATACTGCCTTGTTCAGGTGTTTTGTGTAACCACTTATGGTGCATTTACATTCACAATTCTTGCAGTAATGGCATACGACAGGCATGTCTCCATTTGTAAACCTTTACAATACTACAGCATCATGACTCCCTCAAAAGTAAAGGGCCTTTTGACTGGGGCTTATTTACTTCCTGTTTCAGGTATGTTGATCCACATTACATTAACAGGAAGGCTTCCGTTATGCAGATTTACCATCCATAAACTTTTCTGTGACAACTGGGCAGTTGTCAAGCTGTCCTGTGTAGATACGAATGCCAACAATGTCTTTGGTTTGTTTCTGACTGTGGTTTTTGCAGCTTTCCCCTTTGTTGTTGTTCTTCACTCTTATGTCCAGATACTGCTCGTGTGTTTCAAAGCTACAAAGGAAGCGCAGAGGAAAGCTTTGAGCACATGCGCGCCTCACTTGATCACTTTCATCAATTTCACCTTGGCTTCTCTTTTCTCTGTCATTTATAATCGTTTTGATTATCAGCTGCCAACCAGCATTAATGTTTTCATGTCAGTGCATTTTATTGTAATTCCTCCGCTTTTACACCCAATAATATATGGAATTAGAACACAAGATATTTGGAAAAGCATTCTAAAAATCTTCAGAAAAACAGCTGTAGATGATAAACCAAGGGTGCCAATTCACAAAATGTCCTTAGCAGCTGTGATTAAAAATTAGTGAGATTCAGGTCTCTATGGACATTTCAAAGTGCCATTAATGACTGAACGTTGAACTGTGTCTCTTTGTGGAGTTTGCCGACTCAGGGGAGAAAATGTTAGTGAGTGACGACATTCTCATCCGACGTGGAAAACTACAAGTTGAAAGTATCAACAGCCCACATTTTCAGCACATGATCCTGCATGGACCCTGCTGGTCACATTGAGCTGATGAACTCTTTGCTGGCCATATCCTGTACCTCAACCAAGGAAAGATAATTCTGCAATAACACTCGCTATAACTCCACACTCAGGTGCTTGCCCCGTTGTTCTGATAAATGTTTACCAAATGAGCCATTTGGGAGATTAGAGGTGATACTTAACCTAGACAGCATATCCTTGAACTATAGAAGGAAAGTGTAAGAGAACAACAAGTGCCCCAGGGCAAAATCAAACCTAAAGAGCTCTGTAGGTTGGCAACACTCAACTTTACCACTTTTATTTTGGTAATTTAGATTTCTAGAAACAAAAGCATCAAACACATTTAGCTGGAAAGCACTGAAGCCAATAAATATGTTTTGTGACAACATGGTACTTGCTCTTTATTGCCTTCCTTACAAATATCATGATTTTGTATTCTATTCCAGAATTCAAGAATAAAAGTAAGCTTTGGAATGGGGGCATAGCACAGCTGTTGGCTTTGCCAAAAAAGTGTTTAAATAGACTTTTAAGGAACTTATACGATTGTTTATCTTTTTATTAAAGAATATTGTACCCATATTAAAGGATATTGTCCTTCATCAATTCCTTCTTATCCGATTATAGATTGCTAATTTAACAGATCAGGAAATTCCATTACAGCATACTTTACTAGACTATCAATGTTCTTGCTTACATTAAGCTTTGCTACATGGTAACTGTAAAAATAAAGTCATAGAATAAAATCATCAAAGTAACAAGTGTGCAGTCTTTTTTGTTGTTGTATATCACTAGGAAATCAATCCATTGTGATTCAGCGACTAGGTTTGTGAATTTCTTGTGATGTTAAAAAAAATCTACAAAAGGCCACACAGACAGGAGAGATCCTATTTAATCAACCAAAATACCAAACATTCAATTGATATTTTTTTCCAATTGGGTATTTTTGTTATTTGCATTAGTACCAATAATAAAAGTAATGACAATTATGACAATAACGTTATTAACTTTAATAATCTACTATCTCCACTTCAGCTCACACCCTCTGCAGCCCCTCACTTGAATTATATTTATTAGGTGGTTAATTTGGAATATATTTGTGATTCTTTTTTCAAGATTACCCTTACTGTTCAACTTCACTCTTCTTCTAATTAAACCCAAATGTACTCTGTTAATGAAATGTTCTCAGAGGGGGTTTTAGAATAGAATCATATTACAAAACTGTGTCTATACACTGAGGTACAGTACTGTACATATAAAACCATGCTCTCTGGCAGTCATTACTCACATCATCCTTAGCAAGGAGATCACAGTCACGGTAATGTAGTAGCAGTAAAATAATTTTTTTTAATTCAGATTTTAAATTGAAATATTTTTTTTATAGTTTTACCTCCACAATATTGGAATTATTTCAGTGAATATCTTAAGTATAAACATGTATAAAACGTGGTTGACTGTAAAGCCTATATTGGAAAACAGAACGTTTTTCAAAATTTCTTTTTGTCTACATTTTCTCTCTATGAATGGTGTTTATCTGTCTCAGAATTCTTTTTTTTTTTGACAGATTGATTTGGCACAATGAGCAACTCCTCTTCGTCCTATTATGGTACTTTAATTTTTACTTCATATGGTTCTTTAGGCAACCTAAGGTACCTGTACATTACTTTTGCTTTATTAACATACGTTCTCACAGTGTTTGCTAATGTTTTTCTCATGCTAGTGATCTACCTGGAATCAAGTCTCCACAAACCCATGTATATTTTTTTATTTAACCTTGCACTGAATGGACTGTACGGAAGCTCCGCTTTCTATCCTAAGCTAATGGACCATCTACTCTCGGATGTTCAAGGAAGCTCCTATGTTGGCTGTCTAGTCCAGGTGTTTTGCATCAGTACCTATGGCACTTGTGCATATGCAATTCTAACTGTGATGGCATACGACCGCTACATCTCTATTTGTAAACCTTTGCAGTACTACAACATTATGACTCCTGCAAAAGTAAGGAAACTTTTGGCCTTCTCCTACTTCTTTCCCATTTCTGGCATATCCGTACATGTGTGGTTGACCTCAAGGCTTCCCCTGTGCAGATTTACCATCCATAAACTGTTTTGTCACAACTTAGCAGTTGTGAACCTGTCCTGTGCGGACACGAGACTGAACAATGCATTTGGCCTGTTGCTCACGACAGGTTTAGTAGTCCTGCCTTTCATTCTTGTGGTGCTCTCCTATCAAAGGATACTTATAGTAAGTGTGAAAGCTTCAAAGGAAGCACAGAGGAAAGCCTGGAGCACGTGTGCCCCCCATTTAATCACTTTTGCCAATTTCTCCATGGCAACTCTTTTCTCTGTTATCTACAATCGATTGGAACTTTACGTGCCGACATATGTAAATCTAATGATGTCATTACATATTGTGGTAATTCCCCCCCTGTTACATCCTGTAATATATGGGTTACGAACACAAGAAATTAGGAAATCTATTTTAAAGATGCTAAGTACAAGAAGACTTTTCACTGTTTCATCTGTTTCATGTCATGTAACTTCCTAGGTATACTGGATTGATACAATATACATTTGTAGAGACATATAGTAACATTTAATGCTATATAGTAATGTTGAAATCGGGACATGAATGCTATGCTATGAAAAAACACCTAATCTTTGTGAATTCTTTGACGGAAAAGAGTGTGTTGTAACAAAAAAGTACTTTTTTATTCTGAAATATTTATACAACTATAGGCTTTTTAACTGAGGAAGTGTCCAGCCACTGAAGTGAATGGATGAAATCGAATTCCAATGCCAGTCCGCTCCCTCGATTGTAACAATTCATCTCCCAGCCCAGATACGCCTCATTTAAAACCAAGCAGTAAAGTCTCCTGCTTGTCATCGAAGCAGTAAGGACAGGAAGATACTGAGCTTTTCCAGTCCAGTTATAATGCTCTAACTGGTCCGTGTCTAATGAATTATACATGACAGAAAATACATTATACCCAGTAGAGAAGACAGGATCCTGGAGCAGGCAGAGAAAATCTATTGTGTCACTGAGAAAGCAAGTAAATCTATTCACTCGTTTTGCATGTATTACACATACTTAAGAAGAATAAGTAATAAGTTTATTCCCCGCTGAGAAGAGAAGAGAGAAAACACAATGTTTCGACCTTCTTCAGGTGTGGAGTTTTTTTTACCTCTGAGGACTGATCCAAGCACAATTACTGTGTGTCTAGTTTAATTTTTTTTTCAACGAATTGAAAAATGCATAATAGCATAATTCTACTAATGTGTTGTTTAATTTTAATTTATTTCTATTAACAATGTTAGTTTGATGTCATACATGCATCCAGGGAAAATAGATTTGTTGTTCTACAAAAAACTGCATAGCCGGGTTTTACAAAATGTCTTCTGTGTGAGTCTGAAAATTGCTTTCGTTGTTTTGTGCCGCTGCTACTCTGTCAGTGTCACTGACCCTGATGTTTAGAAGCTTTTAGAGGTCTCTCAAAACCTGTTGAGGTACTGTAAAGAAATCAGCCTTGAGTTTTATACTTTTATTGTAAATGTTACCAAATAAATTTCCACTTTTAAGAAAAACTAATGTTTGTGCATTATTGTCATTCATCAACAGTATTAATTCCTGACAGGACGTTTTTATAAAATGAACTTTCAGGCTTAATTCAGATCCTAAAAATCCTTCAAGTAGAATTGTTTCCTAACTGAATCCTAACTGAATTTAAAGCACATTAAAAGTTCCAATGCAAAACAGTGATATGTAAACATATTCCAGTTCCTGTTGAAATTATATAATCAGTTTGTTCTTTATTTTATGATTTTTCAATCAGCATTTTATTTTACATTCATTTTAATTAATGTTCAGGTTCAAGTTTATTGTCATTATACTCATACACAGGTATATGGTATAACAAAATGCTATTTAGCTAGCTCTCAGATGGTAAGTAGTACAAAAAAACAATACAATTGTATAGGAAAGAACGACAGAGACAACAGGCAATGTTTAAAACATAAACATTAAACCCCGTCTTTCATTGAAAATGAATACAAATTGTTGCAATTGCACATCATACAAGATTGCTTACAAAAACAAATGTTAGAAAATGGAACATCCCATAAGAGATTAATGTCATCTCCATCGGGGCTGTCAGAGGCTGAACTCCTACTTGCTGACAGAGCTGGACAGCACACATGCAAGGATTCAAATCATGTGGACTCAGAAGAAACAATCAGCTTTTACTGCACAGTGAGAGAGAAAATTGAAATTTTCTTTAACGAAGATTCAATGCTTTGTTTTAATTCTTCCTGTTATTGTTTAAAACCATCTGCCAATATTTATTTAAAGTAATCTCCAGATGTAATGTTTTGTAAATTACACAGAACAATTAGTACTTTATATCATTTTTATTTCTAGCAGTCTCTCAAAAAATGAAAAAAAAAAACAAACGGTTACAGTAGGTTCAGAAACACTGTCAAAACTGTATCAAAAGTCCATACAAAAACTCCTTCTGCAAAGTGAAGCAGTGCAGTAAAAACAGTCGTTGTGTGTTCACATGCCAAGTTATAAACTTGAGCCCTGAGAAGTTTGAAAGGCATTTAGATCTGAGCTTAAAAATGTAACATTATCAAGTCACATATGACATGAAAACATCGGTTCATCCTAATTTAACTCAACCACAGATTTAAGTAATAACTTATTAATTTCTCATGGTACTTGTTTTGTAGCTGCCAAATTATTCACAAGTAACCTTTTGAATATGTGAAACTAAATCTAAAATAATTTGAGAGCTAAAAACAAATCCATGGGGGATTAATTATAATTTAGGATTTAGAAATGCTTTTGAAAAATCAGCTATAAATTTCAATAAAGAATTAGAATAATATGTCATGATGACATGCTACAATACATACTGTACTTTCAAATAAAACGTTTCATCACTAATTCGTGTGGGTTCTCCCATTTACTTCTCACAATCTTGAATATTAACTAAAAACCTGATTTATATTATTTTATTCAAAACAATAAAAAAAGGTCCAAACATGACGTAACAGAATTTCATAGAATCTGTAAGGATTTTCTCTCTAACTTCACTTCCTGTAGCTAACCAAAGATGATGAAAAACTGCTCTGAAGTCCATGATGCCTTTCTTAAATAAAACCTTATGTTCGGTATTTCAAAACCAGGGCTTCAGAAGGCCTGCTAAAGGCTTTGAATTTGTTCACAGAGGAACATGACTCTCAAAGCCCAAGTGAATGTTTTCATCCCAGCTCTGTTAAAACCCCCGCAGTGCCTGAAGTTTGCAGATAGTCCTTACTGAAGAAATGCCAAAGGTGTTTATACAGAGTGTGAAAGACACACTACGTTTTGCTCATTTTTCACAGTTCTTTCAACAGCATAATTTTTTCTACTGGAATGAATTTTTAGGATTCTTTTTCTTATCTCCTGCATTTTAATCCCATATATAATTGGATTGAAAAGAGGGGGGAACAGAAGAACATCTATTGACATGACAACACACACTATATTAGGGATATTGCTCAAGTCAAACTGCTTATGAACAAATTCAAAGCAGGTGGCGATGCAATAGTTCATGAAAGTCAGTAAATGAGGGGTGCAAGTTTCTAGAGCTTTAAAGCGAGCTTCCTTTGAAGCTTTCAGGCACACTGTCAGGATCCTGATGTAGGAGTAGAAAATCACTAGAAATGGGGGAGCGATAAATACTGTTGAAACAAACAGACCAAATCCATTATTAAAAGAACTGTCCACACATGAAAGCTTGATGACTGAAAAATTGTCACAGTACACTTTCTCTATGAGAGATCCACATAGTGGTAACTGAACAATTAAAGCAAAATCTATGCAAAAAATACAAACGGGGTACAAATATACAATCAATAAAAGCTGAGTGACTTTAGATGGGGTCATAATGCTGTTATACCTCAATGGATGGCATATGGACACATATCGGTCATACGCCATCAGGGCCAAAATTGAATATTCAAAGCCAATGTATGTGTGAATGACAAACAACTGAATAAAACAGCCAATCCTAGATATAGATGGGGTTTCTGATAAGAGATTGGTCATGCATTCTGGATAAAATGCAGAGCTACCATATAGTCCATTTAAAGACAAGCAACAAATAAATATGTACATGGGCTCATGAAGTTTCCTTTCTCTGGTAATTACTGTTATAAGAAGCATATTTACAAAGATGATGGAAAGATAAGCTAATAGGGTGGCTGTAAGGTAGACATACATATTAGTGCCGGTGGCCTCATAATCAGCAAAAAAGAATATGGTCACGGGGGTTGAGTTTGACATTGTAACGTTCTTCCAGCTGTCCAGAATGTACCTATGAACAATTAGGGTAGAATTGTATAGTGAAAGCGCAGTTATAAAATTATTAAGAGAACAACAACAATATTAAGGTTAGGTATAAGAAAACGTTTTCATAAAATTCAAACTATTCTACAAAACAACGTGTCCCAATCAGTTCCTCAATTAGTAGGGTAATTTCCAAGCATTATGTTCTTACTACCTCTATGTTACTACCTAACATATCTAGATCATTTATTTATGTTGAATATCTGTCACTCATGAATGTTGTATATCTTTGACAGTTCAACACTATGTATTCATATTTTTTGTAAACATCAGTGGTTCAAAAATACATAGTATAAATGCTGGACTCACCTTTAGAACTGAGGCCAACAGAAATCCTTCTCTGATAACTACACTGTAGCTCCTTCTTCTGTATTTTATACTGTTTTCTCTCGCTGGGGGAATAATGCATGAATTCTATTCTGAGGATGTCCTAGAGGAAATTAGTTAATTAGTGCTCAGATTAAGGCATTGGGTTTATGTTATTGATGAAAACCAAGACTTATTAAAAGATAATACTTTAAATTGCTGAGTCAGTACTAGGAAATGAAAAATAGTCTGTTTTGTGCCTCCATAAATCATTATTAAAACAAAACATTTACAAAGGGTCCATTCAGGAATGTTGTATACTAAGTTTTAGAAAAGATGTGGAGAATAAATATTGAAAGCTTGAAATATCATAAATAATCAAAAAAATTTGCGCTTCACCAACACCTAACCGGATTTTAGCTAAAGCCCATCTTCTCCCTCTCAGTGCATTAAATTATTACTCTGCTTCCCACTTCCCATTCTTCCCTGCCTTGATCCCTTCCTCTCCAGCTCTTAGCACATCTGTTCCCCAGGGCTCTCCAGCCACTTCAGTCTCAGGTGCATTAACACAACTTGCCTTCACGGCGAAACCTCTCCAACCTCTGCCCAGGTAAGTACACTGCACTAATCCTGCACTCTCTTAAACAATGAAACGCATGATGTGTGCCTGTCTAAAAGTTACTGTTGTTTTGTGTAAGCAATGGAATATTGTTTTTTGCTAATAGTCATGTAAGTCACATTGGGCAAAACAAAACATGGAAAGCTTCAGCACATATGACTGACAAAGTATATTAAAATAATGAGAACACTAAAACACAAGAAATTACTTTTATTCACATTAAGAGAAAATTCTCAGGTTACAATGAGACCTTTAAAGAGCTTTTACACCAATTTGTCTGCTCTCTTAAAACCTCAAAAGTCAGAGAGAATTTAAATTACAAGGAACCTCATAGGATAATATTCACATATCCTTTTAAGAATTTTTATGGTATAATTAAACACATTTTCACTAGACTATGAACCCGACAGCTGACATAAACACATACAGTATACTTAAATGGTAAACAAAAAGATAATTATTTCTTGAGAAATATATAATAAAATACATGAATGAAAATTAGGTCCAGTGGCTCCCACTAGTTTCCAACTAATTTTCAGACTCTAAATTATAACTTACACTATTAATGTGTCCTGTAAAACCAAAATTGTTCCTGGTTTTAAGAGGACTCCCTTAACTTCATTACACCTGTCCATCCTTTAGAATTCATTTGATTATAGCATATTTTCAATCTTGTGGATAGTGTAAAACAGGACATTATGTTTTATTAAGAACATTAATATGGACACACTGTCTCATATTTTTGTAGAGTTTAGTCAATAAGAGCTTAAGTGCCATCTCTATCACTCACAATACTCCTGAATGAGGATAGTTTGCAAAAGACAGATGACCAAGTCATTTATGTATCTTTCCTGCTTTTGATAGGGTGCAGAACTGCTTTGGTTGAAGACAGGATGGTTATTTTGTGATAAGGTTTTGTAACTCCAACAACAGTCTTAATTCGGATGCAAAAGAACATTTTTATTATCCTCTTTCTTATTTCCAGCAGTTTAATCCCATACAGTATATGATTGGATTGAAAAGAGGGGGTGACAAAAAATAATTTATTGACATGATAATATGTAGAACATTGGAAACATTTCACAGGTCAAAATGCTGATGAATAACTACGAAGAAGGTGGTGATCCATTTGCTGCTAAACTGCACAAGAAAAGGTACATGGGCTCCCGAAGACTTTTCTCTCTATAGATTAATGTTATGAGAGCTACATTTAGGACAATTATAATTACATACAACAGCAACGAAATCACAAAATACAAATATTTAATCCTTCCTATCTCACCATATGCAGTTAAAGTAAATGAAGTAATCTGAGATGAGTTGTCCATACTCTCCTCTTCAGACCAGTACCTTAGAACAACAAAGCAGACCATTAACATTTTGATACTGTAGGTGCAAATGTTACTAACTCTGCTGACCTGTTACTTACATTTCCACATAGATCTGAATAACATTTCACTCTATGCATTTAATTTAAATAATGAAATCTGGGAAGAGCTGTATAATGCTCTCCTCTTCTGGCCAGTACTCTGTAACGGTAATGCATATCATTAACTTTTCTCTATACCATTTTGATAAGGTGCAGACAATACTTACTCTATTGACCTCTTGGATTTCCACATACTGTAGAATACACCATCATGAAAAAGCACACATTTGCCACATATGATCTTGGTACACCAACGCTGCTTATTTTTCATGAAAATTATAGTCGAAACAGATGCATGTGTGCTGGCTATCGTATTAAACCTTTTTTTTTCTTCGTAACTTTACCATTTGTACAGTATAAAAAGAAAAATATGAATGAATGAAAAACTATACCCTAGTGAAATATATACTGTATATATCTTAGAAAGGAAATATAAGGCTTACATATAAGGCTGTATAATGTTTATTACAAATCAAAGTTATATTAGTTACATTAGTTCCTCTGAAAAAGTGAAGTGAAAAGAAATATACCTTAACAACTGTGCAAAGAGACATAAAATACTGAACCAAATGAGACAAATTACATTGTCAGTCTGTTACTTTATTTGGAGCTCACATTTGAAAAGCTTCTTAAATTTCATTTAAAAAGCCAGTTTCACTCAATATCTCTTGTGATGCCAAAAAAAACTATATACTGAATATATACTATAATTACGTGTTCATACTGTAGCAATCATCAATAGCAAAAATACCTTGAAAAGTCTTCTCATGAAGAGCGGTGTATGAAGGGTCCGTTACAATAACAGCAAGCGTCTTCCCCCTGCTTTATAGTCTGTTCTTATGCTTGAGGAAAAATCTATATTCAGGATTTCCTTGAGGAAATTAACTGGTAGTTAATTTGTGTTTGTTAAGAACCAGTAGCTTTGTTTTTCACAAAACAAAATGTAACTGGAAACTAATCCGTAGGGATCATTAATGAAATTGCTTTAACTATTGTAATGTGGGTAATAAACACGCAGAAGAGTGGTAATGGAAGTGCTATTTTATTAGTCAGAATGGTACAGTTTCACTATCCTTGTAAAGACTGTTCTCACCAGCCAATAAGAAGAAACCTACTGTAAGACACGGTGAAGATGTGGAGTCCTGACTATCCCTGGCCAAGCAGGTCAGGGTGGACACCTGAAACCACAGACCAGGATGGGGAAACATGGGGCAGCCACACACGTACTTTTTTTCCTAACACAATAACCTTTATTTCACAAAAAAACATTTCGCAATAAGTACACGCCCTGACAAATGATCAAACTCACATCAAACAAACTTTCTAAATCAGGTGATTGTCCATTCAATCAGGTGATTGTTCAGGTCCCTTGCTTGGGCTGAATTGAAGACTCCCCCCCCATTTGCTGAGCTGTACTCCTCTCCAGTTATTTCTGGAGCTGTGCAGCTTCCTTCGTTTTCCTTGGCCGCTTTCCATCTGCAGTAGGACAGCGCCAGGGTTCCAGTCATCTCTTTCACTGCTTCCCACCATTCCAGTACCCAACTCTAGCTGCAGTTCATGTCAGCCCAGCTCTCGAAGTTTTCCCTGAATAGTGCCTTGAAGCAGTCTTCCTCCAGCACCTCCCGGTTCAGCTTCCAGTACCCACGGACACAGTCGTGGTCGGAATAGTACACAGGGGACACAGCTGCGGACTCCAGGGAGCAGGTCATGCACTCGAAGATGTAGTCCAGGCGACTGCACACTCCCCTGGAGTTTTTCCAAGTTCTCCAAGTTGTTCCCGCGTCGCTTGGCTAAAACCACTGAAGCCGAACACCAGGGAGGATTGCTTGAGCCACGACTCCAGCTCTGCCGAACTTAATAATTTAAGAACTTAATAACTTAATAAAAGTTTAATAATTGTAAACCTGCATTTTTTTGTTAAGGGGATGAAGGTGTTTTCAAAATACTTAAATATTTGTATTCAGGACAAAATATATCTATTGATTCATAAATGTTTGAAAAATATATGAGTCACGAGTCATTGTGGAAATAAAACAAGGATAATAGGTCTCACATTATTATTTTACTCTTCTTTTAAAACAATAACAATAAACAATAAACAGAACAATTACAATAAACAACTTCAATATCTTTTCTAAGCATGTACTGTAGTACTTGAACACATGAATGAATTTCCTCAATTCTCAAATCTCAGTTAAAGTGAAACAATTAAAACCAAAAAAAAAAACCTTATTTACAGAAATTGTATATACAGAAAGGTTTTTCCACACGATGGAAATTTTGTCTTTCACTGGAAGAAAGGTGAATTTCAATATTACCTAACTGATCAAAATACAAATATTGTAAATGGTATCGCTTCCCTGTGTTTTAGATATGCGTCTTTGATT